AAGAACAAGAACATGCAAGTGTCACTGATCGTTGGGTCCATGGACGCCCATAGCCAGGACATAATCATGGAATCCTCCTCTTCCCATGCTGTAGAGGTTGGATCCCTTTTTTCTGGTACAATTCCAAGTAGGTGATTAATCCTCTCTTTGCCTTTTAGGTATGTGCGGACAATTTGGGATCATTTGAGATAGTTCTTCCCATTAAACCTGTTGGATGTCTGAATATTCTGCAACTCTCCAATTTTCTGAACATTGTATTCTTCAGAATGGTTCAAGTAATTGGAGGTAGTGGTTTCGGACATTGACATGGTGGAGAAGAAAAATTTGCAGCAATTAAGGCTAGAATCAACCTGCAGTGGTAAAAGAATCGCAGCAATTAAGGCAGCGAATAAAAAGAATCCAAACGGTGGCAAAGCTCGCAAGATTTGCGGCACAGGATTGCAGCGGCAAACAGCAGAAAAAGACCGCAAGTCTGCAGTGACCACACAGCGGCAAACAGCGCAAAGTACTTCAGCGGCAAAGAACGATCTTCCTCGTGACAACGTGCTGCTCCTCTCGGACGAAGCGGAGAGGATGGAGTGCAGATCGCAGAGAACCGAGATGTCGAAGAAGATGGGAACGAACACGAAGGCGGAAGCAGCCCGTGCTCGGAAGGGCGCAGCGGAGGCGGAGAAGAAGGAGAACGAGGCCCGTGAAAGGGAAGAACGCTACTGGATCGAGGCAGAGGGGCCGAAATCCCGTGCCGCCAAGAAAAACTTGGAGGAATCGGAGAAGCGCGCGGAAGCGGCCGCTCGACGCGCTGAGAATCGCAAGATCGCAGAACAGGAGCTCATCGATCTAGAGAAAGTCAGTCGCAGAGAACCGAACCTAACCAGAAGAATCGAACGGCGGCAACAGGCGGTGTCCTCTAGAGTTTGAGCCTAGTCTCTGATACCATGCGGTAAATCAAAGAAATAATTTGTATTTCACTCTACTTTTGAATTGATCATACAAGGTAATATATAGGAGATTAAAAGGAGAAAAACTAAGAAACTATTTAACTAATTCCTTTAATTTAAGGGATTACAAATTTATTCAAATTACCTTAATTTAAGGGATTTACCAATTAATTCTAATTTCCTTAATTAAGGAAATTAGAATTAATTCTCACAACTTTATTTCCATCTCAGTCACATCTCGACGTATATCAATAAATACATTAAATGAGAGAATTATAATTCATTACCATAAAATAGAAACATATTAACAACACCTTATTCAAAAGTCCTATTTCCACTTTTTTTAATCACTTCCTTTAGCATATCACCTATAATATTATCATGCACACAACTAGTGTTTATTTATGTATTTTTATTATTGTAAATGATTATGCTTGTTTCATATACATTTTTTCTTCAAATTGATTTACTAGTCCATTTCTAATAAAACAGTTTAATATTACTTTTTCATCAAACAAAATTTGACATTTTAACAACTTTGTTATTTCTCTTCTAGCCAATTTGATTAGTCTTGAATGTCAACTTTTAAAATTTATTTTCTTTTCTTATTAAATTCAAAATGATTTAATTCAAGAAAGAAATAGATCTTATATTTAATAATGCATGCTCTTTCTTATTAGCTTAAAAACTAATGAAGTAGAAATTATCTTACATGTTTGCTACTCATCTTATGCTTCTATCCCTAACCTAGATAATTTTAAAGTAACTCTTTAACTTTCAATTAATCGGCATCTCCATTACCATTATTAAATTCTACACACTATTATCATTACTATTAAATTAGAAAGTAATCTTCACCAATATGATGCTTTTTTAATTACACATTAATCAACACCAATATTCTTATTATTACATTAGAAATTAACCTACATTTTTCTCTTTTAATCCTAATTAATTTAGTATAGGTCTATCAATTTTTTAATCATTATATTATCAAATTGTAATACATATAAAGCAACATTATATCTCTTAAAAGAAATTTGAAACCTTCATATATCTAAGAAAACAAACTTTCTAATTTGCACTAATACCTTAAAGTCCATCTTCTTCCCTTTCCCTTTCCCTTTCCCTTTCCAAAATACCACTATCTTCACTGATATTTTCTTCCTCACAATAAAACTAGCAATTCTTGGATTATCTTGTACTCATAGGATTTATTAATTGCAAGAAAAAAATTCAAAAATCATGCTTCTCGACTGCCCCAAAAAAAAATCTAAATAGAAACATGACTCTCAAGCTTGGAGGACAAAAGGACCTTATTTTAAATGTCGAAAATCATACATAATTGGAAACATCTCGATCCCACATGGTTATACCCGTAATTGCTCACATAAGGGTGCTCGTGCACTTGGCACGGCACATGGATGTCCCTTCCTACTCAATTGTGCCACTTGACATGCTCGTGCGCTATGGTTCGTTCACCCGCCATTTTTTCTTCACTCAGTTGCTCGCACTCCCTCGTTCGCTCCCTCTCTTTCTCGATGCTCCACTCTAATCAACTCACCCAACCTAGTAACTGTTTTAAGCAGCTACTATTCATTGTCGCCTTATTCTTTAAGTTATTTGTTTTAACACTTAATTAAACAAGCGTTGCATTTTCTCTTCTTTTAAATTGATTTATTGAGTTAAATTTTGAAACATTTTACTCTAATTTAATTTAATTTAATAATTTATTATAAGTATTTTATCTCATTAAATTAATTTAATGATTATTATTTATCAAGAACTTTTATATTATTACAAAACTAATGTCAAATAGTTAGAATAAGGTGGATGTTAATGTACTTTAGCCGACATGTAAACCTTTAGTTTATACATAAAAAGTTTACTTCTATTAGAGATGATTGGTCATGATTATGGAATATTGAAGCATGGTTGTCCACTCTCCTTCTTGCTCAAAATTCCCTCTCAATTGATCCTTTTTCTCTCTTATTGTCGGTTCTACATCTCTGCTTCACATCTCTCCCACCTCTTAGGCCAAATCAAATGTTAGAAAGATTGACTTTGTCATAACGGACCTCCATCATTAATGATTATTTTCTCTTGAAAACACCGCTCAATCATGTGTGCTTTGATCTCAATCTCACCAATCCCATTCTCTTCCTCTCTTCTTCTTCACAAGTCTCCCCCTTTCCCAAAACCCAACCCTCCCTCTCTTGCTCCCTCTCACTCACATTACCCATCTCTCAGTCTCCACTTCAAAATCCAGCTCTCTAGTTGCTTAATTTACAGTTAAACACAAGATAAGAATGATTTCGCTAAATTGGTTCTCCATCACTTTGCAGTCTCCGTCTAGCTGATGCCGATCACAACTTTTACATTCGAGAAAACGTCAATTTACAGTTTCTCAGATTGCAATACATCAAAACTTCGGCAGTAATAAAAGATTTTATAAGTCTAAGACTGCGATATATGATTTATAAAAGAGCAAGTTCTTCATAAATGCTAGATTAAAGTTTTCCAGCAATTAGATCCACACCTTTTCCTCTAGCTTAGCTGTCAGAGAATTGACTTCATGCCGCAATGAAAGGGCTTCAGCTGCAGCAACTTTCGACCGTCTCAATTGTGCTTCCATTATCTGCATCTCTTTAGACAATGCAGATGCGACGGCGTGAATCTCGTCTTTGATATCATTTCTCTCTGAAATAAAAATCTGTTAGAGCGTAACATGAAAACCACGCAATTTTACATAGCTAAAACTTCATGATTTTCACCTGAATCCTGCACTGCTTCTTCCAATTTCATTTCAAGATCGTTTCTTTCAGCAATTTGTTTCAGAATTTGAAGTTCTAGCTCATTTGCCTTGGCCTCAAGACTTAAACAAGAGGCCCTCATAATATCAAATGACTCCGATTTGGCAGACAGCTCCCTAAGTTTTTTAAGTAACTGATTTCTATCCGCCTGTATGTATAATTCTAGGAAATCAATACAATAAAACAGACATACAGTGAGCTATAAGCAATACTAAAGCAAAAAATTACCAGCAAAGGTTGTATCAACCCCTTGTACCGCTCAAGTTCAGCATTTAAATGCTGAAGTTGGTCTTCCAGTAAAACATATGGTTTTGAATGGAACACATATTTGTCATCCTTCAATTGATTCTACTTGTGAGAGGAAAAAGGGCAAGTTACAACAACAACTTCCTATGATTTGAAGCACTGCCGAAAATAAAATAATTTCTATAAACAAACCAACAAAGCTTGAATCAAGTAACCTCAAGGTCTTCCAATTGCTTTGACAAAGTTAAATTGTCTTCCCGTGCCTCCTGAAGTTCAAATTCACGATTTGATGCCAGCATCTGCCACAAGAAAAGGTAAATTATTTTACTTGGGGCTTGTTTAGGATCATTTAAAAAAAAAATAAAAAAATGTTTGTTTAGTATATTTATTTACATATTCTTATCTTTCATTTCTAAAACAAATTACAGGTTTTTGAAAATACAAAAAATAACTTCCATGTGTTTAGAGTGTTTTTAAAAATAACCATTCCTTAATCAAATAGTCAAACATATTTGTTTTAGATCAAAACATAAACAAAATAAAATAGAAAAAAAAATGATCTTAAATGGCCTCTTAGATATGAATACTTTACGACATTAAGCTGGTAACAGCGGCCTTGGAACACACAATAGAAACAAAAATAAAATACCACATGGCAATCATTTCGGTACCTTGGCTTCTTCAATAGAATCTTTCAACTGCCTCAGAGTGATGGTTCTATCTCCAGGTCTCCCAGGTGCGCTGCTCCCATTTATGGAGCTGACAAGTGAATAATTCATAGCAGATGTCCCTTTCTTCTGCAGCTGTAAAATAACCAACTTGCGTCTACTTTCCTCAAGCTCAGCCATACTTTCCTCAAGTTCACCTACATCAAGCAAGCAAGAAGTTAAATGCTCAAACAAAGTGAAGCATGAGCTGAACGATGAATGCGTACACAAAATAACGATCAAGAATATAGAATGATTATTAGTACCAAAATTAAGACAAAAACAGTGTTGCATTGGCAATGTATTCTATCTGAATTTTTTTCTGTAATTTTCTTGCTTAAAGATAATGATACATTATCAGTTTCTACAAGTGTATTTTATGAAAAAGTCATTACAATGAGCTCCACTGGACAAAATTGATATGACTTTTATTCTAAATTGTGATATGAAATCAGTGGTGATGATTAGGACACCGAAGATAAACATTAATATCAATGTTTAAGATTTGTACTATCAACTAACAAATTAGAGAAGATTGTGGAAAGTGTCAACTAAAATTCTGTTTAAGAATGCAGAACAGAAGGTAAAAATAGATTTTTTTTTTTGGAGGAGAGAGAGAGTGGGAGGGTTGAGTAGGTGGGGGAAAACTAGAAAACCATACTTGAGAGGTGCTTTATCTCAGACTGCTCTTTGGACTTGCTCTCCTCATAATAACTTATTTCTTCTGCGTATTTTGTATGCAACTGGTGTAAAATAGATATGGCCGCATGAAGATTACGAACCTCCTCTCTTAACGAAGCATCAAACCTTTTCAGTTCTACCATAATCTCTAAAATAAAAAAAGAAAAGTTGATCAGCATTCATTGATCAGCATTCAAAACACAGAACAGAAAAAAAAAAAAAAGCATAAACTGCGTGCAACTTAAGATGTCACTTTCTGGATCAAGCGCTCATAAAATTTAAAAACACACAAAAAAAAATTGCTTTTAATATTTTCCTAACCTTCTGAAGATGGTGTGCCATGCAAAACCACCGCTAACCTCTCCATTTTATCCTGGTGAGCAATTATCATCTCCTCTATATTTTTCATCAAATTTATGGTCCATGAATGGCGTAATGCGAGAGCATCTTGCACGTGTTTGATTTCGAGTTCTACCCCATTCCTCTGAGTGGTAGACATTCTTAACAGCACGCGCAGAAATATCTCTTCAGGTGGGAAAGATGCAAGGATGTCTGGAAGATTAAATGAAACAAAACATGCCTAATGTTAGTTGAAATAATGCTACAACGGGAGGATCAAAATAAAAAGTAAAAAAAGATAATAATATAAGTATTTACAGGACCTTCAGTAAAATACTCATGGTCTAGTTCATGTAAGATATTTGGGTCACCACCAGCTCGTAATCCAAGCAAAACCATGTCATCAACCAGCTATAAAAAGGAAAAAAACAAAGTAAGGCTACTCAAACAAGAAAAAAAGAAAGAAAGAGATGGTGAGGAAACAGATGACAGATGAGTTTGAAAAGAAACAGAATGCTGTAAATGTGACCTGATTCCATTTTTTGTTTAAGGCCATCAAAGTTCGATCATAATAGTTCTTCTTCTCTTGTAGCTCTTTGCACTTCTTTTCCAGCTCGTGCATTGCCCTCTTCTGAGCTTCTAACTGTTGAACAAACTGCTGGTTTTGATATTGGAGAGCTGCAGCATCAACCTGAAGTTTAAAGTGTCAGTAAACGTTCTTAACAAAGTTTGGTATGAAAAACAGTAAACAAAAATGTTGAGTTGAAGCAATTAATAAAGATATATATGAAAAATTTGACAATAACAGAATGTCATAAAGCTTGAAACAGCAAACCAAAAGCTAGGTCTATATAGAGATTATAAAAATAAAAAATTAAAAAAAAAACATAATATGACTACCAAGAATTAAAAAGGCCTAACAAAAATGGGAGCAAAGATAAAGAATGATTATAATAATAAAAAATAATTTTAAATGTATAAAAATAAATCCGATAATAGATATTTTCATGCAAATCATGGATTGACGTTACATTTTTAAAGTATTGTAATGCTGCGAGAAAGTCGAAGTCGGATCATATCTTTCCTATTCAAGATTCCTGAATGATATTAAGCTTAACTCCTAAGACTAACCCTTCATTTCGTTGGTGGTAACAATGCATTCCCCTTGAAATTTCAGAAGGAATTTGGTTTTAACACTGACTAAATGAATAATAAGTGCCACATTCCCTCACTGGACTCTAAAATCGCATCATCTACAAAAAGCAATATTGGTGCATGAAGAGAGAGCTTATCGCTGTACTGTAATTGTTGCAGTACCGCGAGAATACTTGTCGCAGGAGACGAGCCTAAATAATCTCATTTTTTTCTTTCTTATGCTTTATTTCCTATTATCTTTCATTCATTTTCAGTCATTTCTTATATATAGTGTTGTATTAGGTTTGAACTTAGTTTTTTATGTGTTTTGTTTAGAACAGTCGTCTACGTCCATTCTTCTCCCTTTAAGGGTTGTATCCAAAGGAGTGGGCGGTACTCCCACTGTATCTCTCTCCCAATGTGGTGATTATCATCCTGATTCCCTTCCGCGTCCTCCTCACATCGCTTCCGGCCATCCTCCAATACTGCAGCCGCCCCAAAACAAGCCACCTGCTCCTGTTTCCCTGCAGTTTTCCAATCTTCCAGCCGCTGTCATCCGTGTTTCGGCTTGCTGCCGCCATCCCAGACAGCAAGGAGTTGCTGTCCTTACTCGTTCCAGCACCCCCACCCGTCACTACCACTTTCTATTGTCGTTACCCTGCTGTCCCAGCCATTCCTACCAGCTGTCAACCCTCACAGCTACCCCAAAACCCCTTTACTTGCTGCTGCTGCCACCAAACAGCAAATTGTTGTTGTTTGACCTGTTGTTCCTTGTTGTCCACCCGCTTAGTTTGCTACTAACACACAAACAGCAAGGTGCCACAGCTTGTCTTGTTCTTTAAGCTCTTTCCTGTGTGTTGCCGCTCAGGACAACGAGCAACCATTGTTGTGTCGTTGTTTTCCCACCATCCAACCCCTCCTCTACCTTGCCACCAGCTTTCCAAACCCCCGCCAATCACCAGCACCGCCCCGAGCTCCCACCCTAATTTGATTATGTGTCGTTTATATTGTTATTTTAGATTTCCGAATGTTGTGTTAATGTATTTTCTCTTTCTAGTGTGTTGATTATAACCTTCGATTTGTTTTTCGTAATAATATATGTTTTACCAATTGTTATTTAGGTTAGCTCCAGTATCAACGTAGAATGGCCACAGACTCTGGTATGATTCACCAAACAATTAAAAGGTTCTCGAAACCTCTAGAAACCCTTACTAGATCTTTCCCCAGCTAGGTGCAATTTTGTTCTCCAACACTACATTTGTTTCCTCTTCCACAACTTAACTTATATCATTATCCTCAGATTTCTCATCTCTGCTCTTCTAAAAAATGCTTGGAATATTTCACTGTGTTCCCAAATTGGAGGTCGCGTGTTCGATCCACCAGTCATCCTCCGCTTGTCACTTGGAAGACACTCAAAGGATATGCCGCCTGTCTAGCATCATCATCGATCGATTGGACACTGTTGTCGGTTGACTCAAAATATTCTGTCATAGTACCCTCAATCGAAGCAACTTCGATATCTGGCAGAGCACCCCCCTCAACCGTTATAACTGGAGTGATACCTTCCACTCGCAATTCCGACTACGATTCCATCACCACCGCCATTAGAGTCACCAATCGTTCCAAAGCACTCTCAGCCACAGGATCTCCAGCGCTAACTATCACCAGTTGAGACAATCTGCCTATCATCACGCAAGATGTCCTCCTCTGTTGACCACCGAAATCCCCCAACAACATCATTTGGTCACGCGGATCAAGTTCAAGGTCCTCCATTTTCCTTTTCACAGCTAATTCTTTCCTTAAGTGTCCACCCGCAGGATAAAGGGGAGTGCTAAGAACCATGAATAAATATTTATCAAAACGACCCTGAGCTTTAGCACTAGAAATGGTGTCGATTAGAGTTCACAGAAAAAGAAGTAGAGAGGAAAGCCCCATTGATTCTATTTATAGGAAATGCGGGCACGAAAATTGAGAGAGTAATTATTAATTTATTAAATAGTTGAGGTTATAAATAAAAATTTCGATCATAAAGACTCTCTTGTCCTTATCGCAACACAGTCTTCAAGAAGTAAGAAAATCGGCGATATGTATGCAAGAAATTATCAACGCGAATCTCAAGACGATCACATGGTCTGTAAAGAAAAAAATGAAAACCAACAATATGAGATTTCAATAAGTAAATAAGCCGACCGACTGAAAGTCGACAGCCAATCGATGGAAGACCGATCGGCTTAAATTTCTCCCACTGATCAAATGATCATCCGAAACGAAGACGTCAATGGTAGTCGACTCAGTTGACCACTTGAAGAACACTCGAATTCCCAGAGCCGAAGTCGATCGATATTGGTGAACAAAGTCGGCCCAAGTCAGCTACGTCGACCGGTCCAAAGGCATACCAATCGGTAGTCTTAGACTTATGGAAAGTTGTCAATATCGTGTGTTGAAGTGAAGAGTTTTCAATCTCGGTTATGACTATAAAAAAGTGTCAGAATCAGTTATAGATCCAAAATACGTCAATATCATTTATGATTACGAAAAGGTATCTAAAAGGGAAAAGACTAATATGTAATGCTCATACTTAAATAGGGAAAATAATAACTTGTAATGCCCGATTAAAGTTGGGGTAAAAATGTAACTTTATTAAGGGTCGCTTGTGAGTATAAATAAGGACCATTTTATAAAGGAAATGACAGATATTTTCCCTGAAACTGTTCATCCTACACTCTACTGCTCTCTCTCTCTCTCTCTCTTCTTCCATTCTTCTTTATGCTCTATCACTCGTGGTGTGTTCCAAAGGAAAAATCAGGATTCAACACAAATTATTCTTTCAATTCCCCTTCTTGTGTAATTTATCTCTCCCGTTTTTCTATTTTCTTTCAGCACACCTCAAATGGCCATTTGGCTCAGTTAAACAGAGTACAGTATTTCCTGGTAGAACAGACACCTATAGTTTGTCTGTATTCATCAATACAAATAGTATCCATACTCAGGCAAATGAACAAAACACTGCAGGAGATAAGAGGGATGAAAATCAATCAAGTTCGAGAATGTTGAATTCACTCAGTATATTTTATTCTTCCATAAACATGGAATATCCCCACTTCCAGGTTTTTCAAACTCTAGTAGTAGAGCAAGTTAAACTCACATGTAAGCCTGCAACATCAACATCCTAATTATTATGCTATTCAGAATTTTTGTTGATTAAAAATCATGCAGTATGACTGAAGTATATTTCGTTAAAATGTGGTCATGTAATTTTTGCCTTACCAAAATCCTATAAATTACAATTTTCAGTATATCACTTTCCCATCCAACAATAAAATGAACTAAATCAGTATCCCACACAGTTTACGCTTCAGGTTGGCAGAAGCCATTTATGTATGCTGTTCAAGAAATCCCAAATAAGTTCGCAAAATTTCAGGGGCAAACAGGTACAACAACAACAACAACAACAAAGCCTTAATCCCACTACGTGGGGTCGGCTACATGAATCCTTTTTCTCCATTGCGTCCTATTTAGTGTCATATTTTCATTTAGTGCTAATAAATTAAGATCATTTTTATGCAATGAGCCCAAGTCTTCCTATGTCTACTTCTGCCTTTCTTAACATAAGTCGAGCCGCCGGAGAAGCCAAAATTGAGGGCCACCCCCGTTTAAATTCACCCAATTAAAACCTAGAGGCCAGCTCACCCAATTTAAATTTTAGAGCCTCTTCGCCCTCCATCTAAGCATCACATTGCACCCAAACATTGACTCGGGCATCCAGCCTAAACTAATTTTTAAAAAAGCTCCCCTTCATGACCATGGAAGTGTGTTGAAATTTTCTCAGAGAGAGCCCTCCAAATTGCTCATAGAGACTCTTTGAGACCTCCTCAGCTCAAGCCAACCATTTCCCTTACTGATTCCCACTGTGGATGCCCATATTTAAGCTAAATCTTTTGCTAAAAAACATGGCAAAGCTCAATACACCTCCACAGTCCACCAAACTCAAATTAAACTCACCCACACCTTCACCACAGTGGAAGAATAATAAGCTCCATCAAATCCCCCTTCCGTAAGGACCCTAACATAGCTCTAGACCAACACCTGAAATCAAGCTTGATCAAATTCATACCTAGACCTTACACTAGAGCAAGAGGCTCAATCCCTAGCTTCCTTGGACCTCAATGAACATACTAAGCACCTCTGATTGAAGCTTCCCTTCTTAGAGCAAAGGTATTGAACTCCCTCTCTTCCCGAGCTTATTTTGATTCCCCATTTTCTTAGGCTTAATTTCATGGCATCTTAACCATATAGATATGTTCCTCTAGTCTAGAGAAGCATTTAAAAAAAAAATCATTCAATTTGGTTGAGAAATGAGCAAGATATCAAGCCTTGAAGATGGATAGTCCTCAGGCTAAGGCATTGGGGACGATGACGGAGAACCGTCCGATTGCGCGTTCATCTCATCAACTGACGAGATCAAGCCGGACAACTCTCCCTTACATGAACCACTGGCCTAGTCACTGCTGAGGTGGATGGCGGCATCAAATAAGAGTGCGCCATGTAGAGCTTCAGAGCCGTCGCAGGTTGACATGGCACCGCATGTTTAAGAAGATAAATAGGAAATTAAATAAATCGAAAGAAGCTCCCTATCTTCAAAAATCCATATCTTTATGTAGAAAAATCATAAAAATAAAATAAAAATACCCTCTTGCTTAATGAATAGAGGAAAACAATGTGAAACAATTTGAAGTCCATTTGATGTGTATTTCATTTTTAATAAATCAATTAGTGTTAGGAGTCTTTTAACTCTCCATGCATGTAATCATTTCACCATGGCTTGCAATTTTGACATGTGGTAGTCTCTAATAAAGGGAACATTTCTTGATTTTTCTAAAGTTAGGGGAGACCTCTAAATAGAGATCCATATTTTTTAAGCTTATGTCTATTATTTGCATAAATTAATCATAATAATTAGCATGTTACTTAGAAAAATCCAAGAAAATTTTGGTAGGTCTACTATGACTACAGAACTATTTGAAAAATCTTTCATGAGCCAAGTCATTCAAAATGCACATAATCTTCACAAATCCTAAAACACAAAGATATTTAATTTTGGAAAATACAAAAAATAAAATAACTTGATTTTAAATCTCCACTGTTGCTTAAGGCTCAAAGAACTCTCGATAAAAATTTCAAAATATTTTAAACTCATTCGATAACACAAATTAATTTTCAAAGTTAAATGGCATTTTGATACTAAAATGATTTTTAATAATCAAATTATAACTCAAAAAAATTATGAAAACTAGTTTTTGGAGTTCTCTATGATCAAAAGAATTTTATAAAAGTAAAACGGAGTTTAAAACATTTGCTTCTTCATGAATATCCCAAATTTTGAAAACTTGAATTTTACTCATAAAAATTATTTTATTTGTGTCTTTTAAATTTCTCCATCTAATTCTACGGTGATGAGTCATAGTATTATTTATTTTACAACTCTTAATCTTAAAATTTAAAACTAATAAACGATGTTGGGTACTTAAATTTTCACTTGGAATGACTTTACAATCTTTACAATCGCGACGATCTCTTCTTCTCATAAGAAAATAATCAGTTTGTGTTTTATTTGATCCACTCTTATAAGTAATAAGATGTTCATCTCTTTTCTTGAATAAAGTATTAGTAAGATATTGTAGAATCAAATGTATTAAGCCCATACAGTTTTAGCTTTAGTCTGAAAAATAACATATTGTAGAGGTATCATGATATATTTTAGTGAGATAATGGATAGAATGATTTTACGAGCTTTTAACCCCAACATTCTGTCATGCTCCCTCTTAGCATGCCGAAACTTACTGGCACCAAGACGTGCAATAAGAAACATATGACCACCTTTCAGCAGCAGAATTTTTGTATGATAGATCCAAATCGATACAAGATGCAAAACTGATAATGAGAATAAATTATTAAACGTGAAAGTGTTTCAATATTTTGAGAAAATATTTTTCCTAAACAATATATCTTTCACAAATAGGATATTGAATCAAATTTGAATTTAATAAAATTCCAAAAAAAAAATAAACACCATGTCATTGTAAGAAAACCAACAATAATCAAGGCTTTGAGATTGAAGTAGCCAGCCATGATTTGATAGGATCACACAAATATGATAGACAATATACAGGAAATATTTAGAATGACTGCTCCTAATCTAAAATTTAAGCAATGGAACCTCCTTTATTTTGCATTTAGCTTTGATCAATGGAACCTCATTGCCTACATGATTTGAATATCCAATTCTTTCAGGCTGTGTGATCTTGGAGACTTACGCTTATGGTTATTCATGCAAACAACAGAGACAAAAGAACTAGACCAACCCAAATTAAGACATAGTACTCAGTGCTTGCAATAGCTAGAGATCTTATTAAGGTAACAAAAAATTGATCGGGAATGTCCAAACCAGTGCTAAGCAAACGTTTCATAACAAATTTCATAAATTTTGAATTTATATGATTGACGGAAAAAGAGATGTAATGCAACCTAACCAACTAATCAAGGATTTAATGCTTTTCACTAATTTCACACCTTATGATTTATAGTGATTGCCAATTTCCAAAACATGCCTTAATCCAGTTATAAATACTTTCCCTTCGAGGGGTATTATATAATGTTGTTATTAAGTAACATCCGTCCAAAATGAACTATAAAACTCTTTTAAATTAATTCTATAACTACAACTATACCTGGACTGCTAAAAATAGACAACTAAAGGATCTTGACCATGTTGATGACCTATTAATATTATCGCATCCATGAGCCATGTTTTAAATTTTGTATAAAAATTCATAATGATCAATTCATTGACATTGCTCATACAAGGCAATGAGCTGTAATAAATTAATGTGATTGACATGCTATATTTTCTCTTTAGCCTCCATTCTCTTGAATTAGCAGAATCACCTACTTTTAAAATTAAGAATCTGGAACACAGCTCGATTTGAAAGGGCAACAGGTCTCACAGCAAGGAAAAATTGGTATCAATGAGAGTTTGGACAAGGTATTTCATACCTTGTTAGATTTTCCGTGTTAGTTTAATTTTTGAATAATAACCACTAATGATCAATTCATTTACAGTCCTTATAAAGAAATATGACATTTACAAAATAAATGGGATAGACATGCAATGTTTTATATCAACCTTTATTCTCTTCAATTAGTAAAATCATCAAACTTTAAAATTGGGTATCCCGAATACACGACTCAATTTGACATGGTAATAGAGGGTTTCAGGAAGGAAAACAACTGGTGATAAAAAATTCATGTCTAGTTTGATTTGATATGGTAGAAGGTATTCATGAAATCCACATAAATTAGACGACTTAATAGAATAAACATAAACTTCAACTTTATCTTAGTATGCTTCTACATAATAGAAATCCCAATTTGAAATACACAAATAGAAAATATATTAAAAAAAGTAACTAATATTAGCATCTCACTTTTTATATAGAGCACATAATTTAATTAAAATGCATAAAGCTAAAGGATTCCATTAATTTACCTTTTCATAAAAAACTTAATGTGAAATACTAAAACCGACAAGCCACCTTCCACCAAGCATATTCAATGTGTTGCAAACCCATGCATACAAGCTAGGAATTGAGTAGCAAGCATAGAGGTTTGCAACATTTAACTTTATGCAAGATAAGCAAAATCTACCCAAAATCTAACTAATAGCTAGAAATATTCAAAATATTTCCTATAGATGGAAAAAAAATTAGGATTTCAATATCTTAATTAGTATGGCATGAAATTTTTTAAAAATTTTCTATTAAATTGATGAGGCATCAATCAGCCAAATTTCAGGATCTGGTTCATTTCTCTGTGCACCATCTGGATTCCATGTGCCCATCTAAACTTTCATTTTATTCTGTCTTTTTCATGAATTAGGGCATTTACAGATTTTATAAGAAATTCTTAGACTTCTCGGTGGGTTAATTACATTAAAAAAATAAATAAATCAGCATTCATCCCAAGCATTATACCATGTAGACTGAATATCATAAAAGGATCATAAAACATAAGGAAAAGCAGGACAGCTTTGTTTCCATTGACAGCCAAGTTCTCATTGAGTCACAAAAACATCTATAAAATAAATGAAGTAATTTGGGCTACATTTAATTTGCTAGGGTTTTCTAAGGAAAGTTGGAATATAATATTGCCGGGCATGAAATAAATGGGAAAACTTTTTAACAGAAAATTAAACAAACTCTAACGTAAAAGCTCATAATCCATTGCTCGAGCATAGGATGGTAAGAATACACTGAACAACAAGAATATCTAACCCATTCTTCTAAATTCTGTTAAATTTTCACAACGCATTCCTCCCATATTGACATATCCCAACCACCGTCATTAAATCGCGCTCAGAGACGAAGATTTTATCCAATATCATAATAGGACAAAGAAAACTAATTTTTTAACGATTAATCAAGAAAAATATATATATATATCGTCAAACCTCTTCGCTCTGCGTGGGATTCTCCCTCTCTCCCGATGCCATATCCGGGAAACCACCACACCAGAGCACTTATGCGAATTAGGGTTTTGCTGGGGAAACGAAAAAGAGAGGATCAATGAGAAAGTGGGAGAGGAGCGAAGAGTAAGAGACGACGGATGCATGAGTAAACCGAATTACGAAGGGGATTAGGACGAGTGGGGCTTTCAGAGCATGAGTCGAGTGGAAGAAGAAGCGCTCTCCATTTAGAGAAAATATTGCATCGGTACTTCGCAATCATACTGAAAAAAAATGTGAGATTTAGGTGTTATTATATATTATTTATGTATTATTATATATTATATAACTATTATTATTGTGTTTTATAACATTGAAATTTTTTTCAGAATACAATAACACCTGAATAACATACAATAATACCTGAAAAATACCGGGAAAATATTCCCCTGTGTTACTGGACCGAAATCCTTTTTTTTATGTCGCCTCCACGTGACGTGCTTTCATTGGACTGTGAATACTTTACGTGCGGAGCCTTGATGCAATATTTTTTCCTCCATTTGCCATGAAAAAAGGTCTGTCATTTCCTAGAAGCATGGACAAATTGACTTGCTACTCTTACACTAATAAATTATATATATATATATATATATATATATATATATATATATATTATATTTCTATTATA